CCTACAATATAGATACTTATTTACCTCCTTTTACAGATGACAAAACTGAGGTTCAGAGAGGTTAATTTGCACACGACCACACAGCAAATCCAAGGCAAAGCCTGAATTAGAAACATGAACTAAAAAAAAAAAAAAAAAAAAAGCAAACTTTATTCATTGTCAGAAAGATTAAGTAAACTATTTTATCAGTTTCATCTTTAAAAAAGAAAAAGAAAAATATTTCTTTAGTATTAAAGGGGAAGGATGGGGGAAATACAGTGTTTTATTAAATTAAAAAGTGGAAATAGTGTGGAACCCATTACTAGCAAAATTAAGGTCATGTTCTTACCCACTGTCTTTCTGTACCTCTGTACTATAGTGTACTGGAAAAGGAGTCGAGTTTAAGCATCAGCAATATTGGTTATGTAAAAATAAATGAACTTACTTAGAAACTGAGAAATATTTGAAGCTATTAAAAATTGTTTACACCTACATAGGATTGCTAAGCTTTGGCTGGAAGAAAAAAATGCGTCTCCCTCATGTAGGACCAAAGTCCCATTTGAGAACAGTTGATATATCCTTCATTAAGGTCCACTGATTGCTCTAAAATAAAGTCAACTTGCAATGGGTTGACTGTAGGATATGTATTGCTAAAAACCTCTCAAACTCTAGCTTTCAAAAACATTCTTGCCTCTTTAATGCTAGCCTTACTGAACATTACCTCCAGATGATTGTGCATTGCTTTCTTTAGTTATTATAAGGATTAGTGCTTTCCAATGGAAATATAATTGAGTTACACATATAATTTTAAAATTTTTATAGTCACATCTTAAAAAGTAAAAAGATATAGGTGAAATTAATTTTAATGTTATATCTTCACTCAATATATCTAAAATATTGCCATTTCTATATGAGATCAATATAAAAGTTATCAATTAGATATACTTTTTGAAGCCTTCAAGATCTGTTATATATTTTACATTTATAGTAACATATCTCATTTTGATCTAGCCATGTTTCAAGTGCTCATTAGTCACATGTGGGTAGTGGCTACTATATTGGACAATACTTTTAATGTGTGTTTGTATAGAGAAATTTTATATAATTAGTGAATACTTCAGGATTCCTTTCTTTATTTGACATTATTAAAGAGATTATTATAGTTATGTAGATTTGGAAGAGAGCAATAGAAGCCTAGAAAGACTTAAAATACTAAATTTTATTTCAAAACCTATGGTTATATTTTATTGATTATACAACATATTCATTAGTTTTAGAGATTATATAGAAATGCCAATTTGGGTTTTTTTCGCTGATGGCAGTCATGCATGATTTTCCTTTGATAATATGAACAGCATGGATTATTAGAAAGCATTTAGTTTCAACAAAGTTCAATTTAAATATTAATCTTTGAGTATGTACCACTAACCATCTATCATCTTAGGGAAAACTAATTTGAAGACCTGTTTCTCTCCAAAACATTGCTTCAAAGAGTAAGAAAAATAAAACCTCAAATAGCTTTTCAAACTGTTGTGTCATTTACTATAAGTAATCTTGGACATGAATTTCATTATTATAAATATTTCTCAAAGTTACTGGAAATTTACTGTGATGCCTTTTAATTAAAGGAATGTTATTTTGGCCTTCCAGATAAACCTCTACTTGCAAAGGGAATTTGAAAAAGATGAGAAGCCACGTGACAAGTCATATCAGGATGCAGTTTTAGAAGATATTTTTAAGAAGAATGACCATGATGGTGATGGCTTCATTTCTCCCAAGGAATACAATGTATACCAACACGATGAACTATAGCATATTTGTATTTCTACTTTTTTAAGCTATTTACTGTACTTTATGTATAAAACAAAGTCACTGTTCTTCAAGTTGTATTTTCTATTTTCCCCTATGAGAAGATATTTGATCTCCCCAATACATTGATTTTGCTATAATAAATGTGAGGCTGTTTTGCAAACTTAACTTGTAGGAATGGTATGATTGTGTTTCCTGTTGCTTTATTCTGTAAATGAGAATTGTAGCACCATGAAACAGACCTCTCGGTCCCAGTAGGCATTTCTTCCCCTTTCAGGATGTAGGAGGACATGCACAGTATGTCAAAAACTGCAAGCTTTTCCCAACTTTAACCTTACCAGCATGTTAATATCCAGTTTTTTTATACTTTAAAAGTTAAAGTGCCTCATATTTTTAAAATATCCAATAAGGACCCAGGAATTAGCATTTCACTTGTTTATACATCTTATAACATTATGAAGAGGATATAAAAATCCTAGAACTGAAGAGTCTTCCTTTGGTATATGTGCAGGAAGAAAGTTGTATATCTCTGTTCCACAAAGAACACAACACAGTCTCTATACTTTTTGGTGTAAGCTTCTAGCCTTGGTTATTTTCCAGTGGGGAATGTTTAAAGGTATTTGACCAAACCAAGACTTTGCCTCTTATAGCAAGCATAGAGACTGTACTGCCTGGCTTTTGCATTCCTTCAGACATTATTATAAATGTGCAACTCCTCTTCCCTCTTTAAACCTTTATAAGATGTCTGCCACCCCAAGCTTTTGTCTTGATAGTTTTAAATTGATGCCATGAAATTTCTTAGTTTTTGTTCCCTTTTTCTAGTTATCTCTTTCCTTATGTCACCTCATTTCCCATCATTCTTGTCATTAATGATGAATAATCATTACAAATTGGTATGCTGTCAAATTTTGATAAATGTGCCAAACAAAGGAGGATATACAGTGCCATGGCAGTTTTGTGTCATGGTCAAGTTATGATATCATATGATTTGAGAATAGTATGTAAGAGATGCTGTAGAAGATCATGTTGGTACCAAAGAAAGGGCACGTATCTATCAGAACATAGAAGATTTTGCATACTGCATGATATGGTTAGGCTTTGTGTCCACACCCAAATCTCATCTTGAATTATAATCCCCATAATTTCCATAATCCTCACATGTCAATGGAGAGACCAGGTGAAGGTAACTGAATCATAGGGGTGGTTCCCCCATGCTGTTCTTATGCAATCTTTGGTTTTATAAGTGTTTGATAGTTCCTCCTGCATTCATTCTCCTGCCTGCCACCTTGTGAAGAAGGTCCTTGCTTCCCTGCCTTCCACCAAGATTGTAAGTTTCCTGAGGCCTCCCCAGCCATGGGAAACCGTGAGTCAATTTAACCTCTTTTCTTTATCAATTACCCAGTCTAGGGCAGTTCTTTACAGCAGTGTGAAAGTGGACTAGTACACTGCATATATAGGAAAGTATGGTCAGACAGTAAATAGCTCTGTTCAAAATAATTGAGTTCCCAACAAGTAAAGTTTTTTCTACCTTCTGAAACTTGCTCTTTCCAAACCATTGTTCATCCTTTAACTTCTTTACACTATCAAAAATTCTATTTAAAAATAGAGGGCTTTCAGATGAGTACATACAAAAACAAGTGTACATAGGGGTAACACAACCATGAGATTAGTAAATAATACATGGCTAGCACATAATTTGACACCTCATAAAACAAGGATCTGTACTATCTTTTCCTTCCTCCCAATATTTCCTCATTTCTATGCTCAATTTTCTAACACTTTCTCACGTGTTTAATCATTTACTCTTTCATTGCCTTCCCTCAGAAAAACCTGCTCCGTTGAAGTAAACTAAGTAACTCAATATTCTTTATTTTGGTTTGGAAGCTGTCTCCATTCTCTGTATCCATATTAAGAAGTCACCCTATAATCTAAACTTTGTAATTCTAATTTTTTGTCCCATTATTTTTCATACAAAGTGCTTTTAAACTTGTTTTTAAAAAATGACAGATAATGCCACATGAATAGGGAGATGATTCATTCTAAAACTTGTATTTACATAATTAAAAATAAATTTCTAATCATTCTACATACAATACAGTGTACAAGTATTTCATATCGGCATGATTGCCTTCTGCCTTCATATGCATATATGTGGCATTCAGTGCCGTGACTACATTTTGAGTTCTAGAATTTTAACATTTTATTCATTATACAATTATTTTAATAAAGGTAAATAGTAATTTAGGTTGTGTATGAAAAATTCAGATTTCTCAACAGAGTAGATTAAAAATATCTTTCAGAACTGAATATGTTAAATGTTTTAAACATTTTCAAAGAAACAGATGTGTCTTATCTGTCTTAACTTTACAATGACAGTATTGCGTTTTATGAAGACGAAACTCGTGAGCATATCCACATCATAGAATGGCAGCCCATTACTACTATCAGTCACCTTGTTAACTGTGTACACAAAACCCCATGTTGAGTTCAGTGTGCTTTTAATTTGATACTGCAATTAAACATTTAGGATTGCATTAAATTATTAACACATTTTTCTCATTTTACCAGACCAAAGGCAATAGTTGAAACACCATAAAGTTGCTACTTGTGCAGTCTTGTCATCCTTACATGTTGAATTGAAAGTTGATTGAAAATAAAATTGGTATTTAGAAAAATCTCTTAATTATATAAAAAGTTATCTAGGCCAGGTGCGGTGGCTCACACCTGTAATCCCAGCACTTTGGGAGACCGAGGCAAGTGGATCACAAGGTCAGGAGTTCAAGACCAGCCTGGCCAAGATGGTAAAACCCCATCTCTACTAAAAATACAAAAAATTAGCCAGGGGTGGTGGCAGGTGCCAGTAATCCCAGCTACTCAGGAGGCTGAGGCAGAGAATTGCTTGAACCCAGGAGGCAAAGGTTGCAGTGAGGCAAGATCGTGCCACTGTACTCCAGCCTGGGCAACAGAACAAGGCTCTGTCTTTAAAAACACAAAAAAAGTTATCTAAAATGATAGACTACATCCCAAAAATGATTCTAAAGTGACTGGCAAGATTATGAAAGAACATCTCTATTCTGAATGTTACATGTAAATCTTTTTTGATATAAACAGTGTTATTAATTTTCATGACAACTTAAGAAACAGACACTACTGTCATCATCACTACTTTATAGATAGGGAAAATGATACCCAGACAGGTTAATTTCTTTCTGTTTTTCTCATTTTAATTTAACTCATCAAAGCAAACCTAGATAATTTAGGGAAGGTTTGTGGCACAACCGCACCTACAACACCAACATGGTATATTCATTTTTCATTTTATTTCATCCTCTTGTGCCAAATATCAAAACAAGGAACTGCATGAAGTCTCACATACTTCTGACCATCAACAGAACACTGAAAGCACCCATAAACTGTCTCCCTTTTGAAGTTCCCCATTCCACAGAGTATGCACGGCCCTTTGGGAATGTTGTGATTAAGTAAGTTAACTCGAATATGGGTCCCTTCTTTGAGTGAAATATCAGTCATGCTGAGAGGTTTGTCATAGTAGTCAGAAAAAAGATCATCCAAGTAAAGCTGTGAACGAGAAATTACATCCATCACTCTTCTATCTAAAAAGACAAAAACAGAACAGAAATGTGTTAGAAGTGAAAATGAAAAATACATAATGCAAATAGCATTAATAAATATGTGAATCCACTAGTCATGAAATAATTTGGCTTTTCTTTTTTCTTTTTTCTGGCTCTATCACCCAAGCTAGAGGGCAATGGCGCAATCTCCACTTACTACAACCTCCGCCTCTCGGGCTCAAGTGATCCTCCTACCTCAGCCTCTCAAGTAGCGGGGACTACAGATGCACACCACCACAACCAACTAATTTTTTTTCTTTTGTATTCTTTGTACAGATGGGGTTTTGTCACATTGCCCAAGCTGGTTTCAAACTTCTGAGCACTAGCAATCTGCCTGCCCTGGTCTCCCAAAGTGCTGGGATTATAGGCATGAGCCACTGTACCAGCCAGGCTTTTAAATTCAAATTTTTCCTTAACAGATGGGATTACTGAATAGAAAACCTCATGCATTAAGCCAGGAAAGAAAAAAAAAAGACATTCACAATGGACATACTTCTTTCAAATAGGATATTTCTCAACCTGTACAGCAGTGCAAATGTTGCCGTTTCTTCCCTTTCAAATCCTCCTTTTGACACTGAAGTGACACAAAGGTCTACAAAAAAAATTGTTAGAAGATGTTATAACTTGAATAATTCATGTTTTGTTGTTTGATGGGGTGATGAATTCTGGTACAAACCATTCATTGTATTTTTTTAAAAGTTAACTTTTACATACTTTTGGAAAAGGTAACATTCACATGGTACAAAATTCATACAAAAAGGAGATACAGCAACAAATAAGTCTCTGGTCCACCCTGTATCCAGCCACAGTCTTCTACCTCAGGGGCTCATGCTCCAGAAATACTCCATATATTTTACAAGCATAAAGAAAGATGTATGTATACATGTATGTGTATAAAATTATTTATGCCCAAATAGTTACATATTATACTCAGCTCTTTAAAAATATCCATTAAAAGTATTATATTCTTATTGGCTTCATAGTATTCTCTTGTAAGGATGCACCATTATTCAGTCTCCTTAAAGTTGTTTCCAATCTCTTGTTATTGAGGACTGAATATACTTGCACTCATATCATTTCATATATGTGTAAATATATCTGTAGGATAAATTCCTAGAAGTGGAAGTCCAAATTATATGTATATTTTAAATTCTTGTGGATATATCAGTCCATTTACATTCCTCCCAACCATCAATAAAACTGTAAAAACTTAAAATTTACTTAATAAGACCTAGTATTTGGAAGCGTAATAGGGTGACTATAGTCAAAACAATGTAATTGTACAGTTTTTTCTCCATCTTAGACTGAGAACTTGTACATTTTTAAATAACTAAAAGAATTTGTACATTTTTAAATAACTAAATAACTAAAAGAGTATAATTGAACTGTTTGTAACACAAATGATAAATGCTTGAGGGGATAGATACCCCATTTTCCATGATGTGATTATTATTGCACTGTATACCTGTATCAAAATACCTCATGTACTCCATATATAAATAAATATATATATATCTACTATATAGCCACAAAATTAAAAATATTTTTTAAAAAAACAATTTACTTAACATGTAGTTTTGTTTTGTTTCTGGACTCCCTATTCCCTCCTCCTACAAAATTGCAGAAATGAACAAAAACAGGTCTAAAAACATTTGTAAATTACCATGGCTAGGGGACTCCCTTTCCTGATCCTTTGGGCTACACCTGGGCTTGTTCCAGTTGGCCAACAGACCTTAAAGACCTGTGAAATGTAGAGACCTAAAGTGAGCTGCACTTAGGTATTATACAAGGTGACAATTTTGGAGGAAGTATTTTTACCTTTTAAAGTTATTTTTTAGGAAGAGTGCAAGGGGAAGCTTGTTATGATAAGTAAAACTGAAGTAAGAAAAGCTGTCTTTAGATGCCCTGGTTTGGGAATCCTAACACTTCAGGCATCCTACTATCTACCTACTCCTCTGTTTGCCATCACCAAAAACTACCTATAAGAAAGTCATTTATTATCTCCCCATGTAAGCTAAGGAATACTTTGTCAGTAGATGGCATTTTAGCTCTTATTTATAATTTTAAATGGGGTAGTGGAGAGTTCACAACCTTCACCAAGAAGCAGAAAAGTGGAATGGGGAAGCAGGGAAGGGAAGACCTTTCTCAGCTATTTTGCCCAAGCATAAGATTGACAGTGCTGACAGCATCTTCTATAATTGTTAGACATGAGGGGAGAGAGAGAGAGAGAGAGAGAGAGAGAGAGCGCGAGCCCATGCCCTGTTGAATGCTCCTTAAAAATATAGTCATTTGTATTTCATGCAGACCCTTAACTCACCAAAGGCACCATCCAGGTATATGAAGAGTTCAAAAACACTGAAAGCTATGGTTGTATGTGCTGGGAAAACAATAGCTTTGTCCCTTCCCTTGGGATTCTGTTCATCCATAAAGTGAAACTATATTGAATAAATATATAACATTATTAAGTATTATAACACGTAAGGATAGCTTTTTGGAGAAACAAAACATCTCATAAAATCCTACCAAACAAAACAAAAAATTCCCAAGTAAAGAATTATTCTGCTTGAATTAAACCATTTTTTATAGCAGAGATCCAACTGGTCCAACAGAAACTCCTGGTCTATATTAGGAAATACCTCTGCACTTTTCACTTACTTTGGTATTACAGCCCATGATTAGTGCTACCACAACCATAATGCTCTGGAGTAGAAGCCTTTTTTTTCAACAGGAAATCTTAGAAAGCAGTGCTAGAGTTTAAGTTTTCAGCCTAGCCTGTCTACCATTCCAAAGTCCTCCAGAGTTTTAATCCAATCAAGTCATTATTAGGTGTCACTGAATGACAAAGATAAACAATATCATAATTGAGCTGAAAATTAAACACAGATAATTTTCTAATTCTTTTTATTGTTTCAGAGACAGGCTCTCTCTCTGTCACCCAGTCTGGAGGGCAGTGGCACAATCATAGCTTACTGTAACCTTGAACTCCTGGCCGCTCCTGCATCCTAAGGTGTCCCCGCTAAGTCCTGAGCTCGAACCTGCAAACTGCTGGTTGGACACGGAGCCCATGGTCATCAGCTGAGCCCTTGGCCCTAGGTCCCTAGTTGGGTGGTTGCTGGCCCCAGAGAAGTCTGAAGGCAAAGGGGTGGTTTGGAGAAGAGGCTGCTACATCTTCCCTAGCACAATAGCAGTGGGAGGGCCCACAGCTTTTCAAAGGCTCCCAAATTCTAAAAGACAATGACCCAAACCCCCACAGGCAGCCCCCTGCCTCAGGACTATAGGCGTGTGCCACCACACCCAGCTAATTCTTTTATTTTTTGTAAAGACAAGGTCTCATTATTTTGCTCAGGTTGGTCTTGAACTCCTGGCCCCAAGCTGTCTTTCTATCTCAGTCTTCCTAAGCACTGGGATTACAGGCATGATCCACTGCACCTTGCAGCTAATATTTTTTAAAGGATTTAACTAACCTTGAATAAAGCATGTATGGCCATTGATAATATTAACTTTGAAAAACTATTTGAATATAAAAATATAAATTAAGCTTTTAAAAATTCAAAGTGTAAAAACGCTATCACTTAAAAAACAACTCAGCTTAAGCACTCAATTTTTATTCCTAAAACAGCACTTAAATAGTAATATAAGGGACTCCATTATGCATGTAATTTCACAAGGATTACTGTTTTTGCATTATGTTACACTTTTTTTTTTTTTTTTTTTTGGTTGGGGTTTTTGTCTTGTTTTGTTTTGTTTGAGACGGAGTCTCACTCTGCCACCCAGGTTAGAGTGCAGTGGCACGATCTCGGCTCACTGCAACCTCCACCTCCTAGGTTTAAGCGATTCTTGTGCCTCAGCTTCCTGAGTGGCTGGGATTACAGGGGTGCACCACCACACCTGGCTAATTTTTGTATTTTCAGTAGAGATGGGGTTTCTCTATGTTACCCAACTTGATCTCCAACTCCTGACTGCAAGTGATCCGCCCACCTCGGCCTTCCAAAATGCTAGGGTTACAGGCATGAGCCACTGTGCCCAGCCAAAAACTATACCACTTAAAATCAGTTCAACTCACTCAATTTTTATTCTTAAAACAACACTTAAATAGTAATTTGAGGGACTCCAGTATGCATGTAATTTCATAAGGATTACTGTTTTTGCATTATATTACACATGTTTAGAACCCCAACATTTTTTTTTTCATACTCTAGAATAGACATTGCTGTGCAAAATCCCATACAACTGCAGCTCTTTCATCAGAACATTTGACAAAATACACAAGTCTGACGAGAAATTCAATACTTAAAAAAATTCCCATGGCAACACTTTAGTTAGTAAGAGAAGCCCAACGAGTGTGGTTTACCCGCATTGCTTCCCCTCGAATTCCAGCATGCACAGACAGTGAGCACTGTCGTGTGGTTCGGATGCTCTCCATGACCACACACAATACTGCCTTTCTGCTGCTCCTTGACTGACGTATCAAGCTGTGGTCAAAGTTAATTTTTCTAAAATAAAGAAGATACATTCACAAGACTCTGTAACATCTAATTACACATAATCAAGTACATTTTTTGCTGTCATGTGTTATTCATTCATAGTTCACCTAATAGTAAATCAAGGCAATCCTAATAGTCAGAAAATACACCCAAAAGAAATGTAATAATTTGTCTCTCCTATCTGTTTTCTTAAAACATGCTTATACACAATGTTTCACTCCGTCTGTTGAAAGTCTTTTGAGGGGGGACTCTATTTGTTGCAGACAGATTCCTCTATTATTTTAATCTAATAATTTAGCAAATGTGTGTAGAGCCAAAGTAATTTTGTGGAACAATTAAGTTTTGTTTAAGCCAAGTGACTTTTTTTTTTTTTAAGCTGGGCAAATCGTTTTAACGTGTAACAGTAGACCAACTGGGGAGGACAAGACCCCAAGCTCCAGCCTTTCCCCTGATGCCCTGGGACCTGTGTGCCTGGGCCAGTCCCATGCCTGCCCCAAGCCCTGAGGCCCACAAGTCCCAGAGAAGAGTGGGAAAGAAAGCTGGGTGGTTGCAGCTCAGCTCCAAGAGTTCAGGGAGGAAAAAACAGGGGCTAGTTGAATTTAGCCTTGCAAAAATACATCTCTGGATGCTCATCAACGAACTTCTTCAGAATCTCCTGTTTCTTCTGTTCGTCTGAGGTTTGCAGCCCCATGGACTTCTGTCTCTGGTCATACATCATCCTTTCCACCATGCTGCGAGTCTCACTGTCCAGGTCTGACAGCTTGGAATTCTCAGGGTTAATATTCTTGGTATTGATCTCAAGGTCACTGGACACCAAGCGGCTCCACCACTCCGTCTTATTGATCTTCTCCAGATGCAGAGTCACCACCTTGCCGTCCTCAATGAGCCACGAGCTCTCCTCCACCTTCACTTCATTGTAGAGCTCCCCATAGATGATCGCTGGCTGCCCCTTGAGCCCCATCCGGAGGTGCCACCGCAGCATGTCTACCACCACGTCCTTCCCTTTCAGCCGGAAGTTCACACGGAAAGGGACTGCCAGGTCCAGCTCCGACAGCGTCTGGGTCCAGCGGTAATTAGGCAGGTCTGCCCCGTTGCCTAGGGTGGGCTTCAGTTTTCCTTTCTCTTTCTCTCTTCCTCCTCCTCATCTTCCTCAGTCTCCTGCTTTCCTGGGGAGTCAAGGCTGCCATTCTTGAGCTGGGCCTCATGATTCTCTGCATCCTTTTTCTGGTCAATCTCTAGCTGCAGCCTCTCTGTGTCTTCGTCAGTTAGCTCCTTGATCTGGGGCCCTGAGGTCTCTGACTTAAACCAAGTGATTTTTGATATCTATCCTAATTCAAAGTTTGGATATACCACTAATGTATTTCAAACATACCTAGCAAATTACACTAGTAAAATACAACCTCAATGTTTTAAGCATTCTTTGTAATGAAGTTTATATAGCTAAAGTATTTAATGAAAACACTGAAATATATTAGGATTATTATACTGACCGTGTAGTAATTTCTTTGAGTAGTGTTGATACTTCCACTTCATGTTTGGTTACTATACCAAATGAAGCTTTCACTGCGATGGAATCTGATCCAGCAACATTAATCCCAACGTCATTTACAATATGGTTCCCTCGCCTTCCATAGAGTGAAACATCGGATTCATCTTCATAATTCAGTAATTGATAAGATGAAATACCTTTACAAGAAGAAATGTAGTATTTTTAAAACGTCTTTAATTTATCTTATGTAGATTATATATAGTAACACGTTAATTTACAATTGAAGACTCAGTTACCCAAATGTTAGAGAAAGGCAACATTACTCACCAAGATTTAAAGTAGTAATTCAATTAATCTTACAACAAAAAGAAACACATAGCCAGAATTCTTAAAAGGAACTCAAATTTTCTATTCAGCCAATAGAACTTCTTAAGCATCAAGATCCACTGGGCAATTCAAAGAAAAAATAAGCGTTTATAAGCAGTAACTCATTAAAATATCAGCTTATTAAATAACCTACCCTTCAAATACATTTCAGTTTACCAATTGTAATAATTGCATTGTAAAAAATAAATACAAATTACTTTCATCTCATTTGACCATATAAGATAGGTAAGCCCAAATAATACCCCATTTTATAGATGAAGAAATATGTCATAGTCTAAGTTGATCTGATTAAAACAATTTATAAAATAATTGATAGATTTGAAAATTATTTGACCAATAAGAGATTTGATATTATACAAACTTTTGGCATTGTTAATCTTAATAACATTATTATACTACCATCATAATAAAAGTTGCTTTAATCATTGAAAATGTGTATTACTAATGTAAGTAGCATATATGACCTATGTTTAGGTTACCAATAATACAGACGAATGAGTTGGCACTCCCAAACATTTAAACTTACCAGCTGAAATTTCTCTGTCTCCTAGGAGAATATCTTTCAGTGTAAAAGGTGTTGAAGTAAATTTATATCTAGGAAACAGAAAGCATCGCTTCTTTTTTACCACCAGACTTAGAGGTTGATATTTGTCAGCTTCACTGAGGCTTGGAACAGGAACTAATCTCCCTCCATCTCCAACTTGCTTGACAAAGCTCTTGGTAGCAGCAGCAAACATATTAAAATCAAAATGTCATCAACTGCAACCCCCAGATAAATCCATTTTTAAAGACGAAAATCAGGCACAAAATTAAGCATTGCTTGTTTTTAAATATAATTATACATCTTAAAAATACAAAGCATGGTTTCACCAAGTAGTTTACCACTGTATAATTCACTGCCTCCGCTCATGTGCTCAGGTAATGAATTATAGATCAACGATGTAAAACGATATGCTAAGAGCATGTTTAATTTGGAATGGCAGGCTATAGCACTAAAATATACACAGAAAACTAATAACATAAAAATATGACCAATGTCTATGATAAGGATCACAGTAGATAGCGATTTGCCACTGGCAATGGGCCAATTTTAAGGGAAGTATATAGCGCTGTGGGAAGCAATGCAATTTAGGCACTAACAATAGTCCCGGATACAATCTACAGTGGACCTAGTCCAAAGGGAATTCCTTCACAAGTCCACACTGGAATTTTGGCAACACGAAAGTGCTGTTTTGAATCCTCATGGCATACAGTTCATTGATAGAGCATTTCATTCATTTTCCATCTTACATGTTTATAAAACTGTGTTTAATATTAAATATGAATTCACAGATATAAACAATTACATGCAGATCTTTATAAAAAAATAAAGCCACATTACATGTAAGTAACTATATAAACTATTACCTAGTGGTTTCTTACTCTGAAGCTGGACACACAGACTCTATCCCTTTGAAATGGAGTCCTGCTGCATCTTTTTGTTTCATTATTATCCCAGCTACTGGGATAGTAATAAGAGCTATCTATATAAAGTTCTGGCCTGTTTTTAAGTGATTTTGTGGCTAAAAATGAACTTTACCTGAGTGCTGAAATGTTTTGGCATAGGTGTTATGCGGAGTTCATATATTTTGAAATAGTGACTATGTAGCCCTTCCAATAAGATATCCATTAAAACAGTGATGGATAGTAATCTATATACATACATATATAGATGGAGAAGAAGAGAGAATAGGCTCTAATTAAAGCATCAAATGATATAATTTGATTAGATTCGGAACATCTTTCACTTGCTTTCAAGCATCCAGGGCTCACATGCTAACAAAATAACAAACCACTTTTTTTTTTTTTTGAGATGGAGTCTGACTCTGTCGCCCAGGCTGGAGCGAAGTGGCGCTATCTCGGCTCACTGCAACATCCGCCTCCCGGGTTCAAGCGATTCTCCTGCCTCAGCCTCCCGAGTAGCTGGAATTACAGGCGCATGCCATCACGCCCGGCTAATTTTTGTATTTTTAGTAGAGACAGGGTTTCACCATGTTGTCCAGGCTGGTCTCGAACTCCTGAGCTCAGGCGATCCGCCCGCCTCGGCCTCCCGAAGTGCTGGGAATACAGGCGTGAGCCACCGCGCCCGGCCATAAATCACTTTTAATAATATCCTTTCGTACGAAGAGCATCGTGCAAAGCAATCTTCCATAACACCGCGTAAGCACAGGACGGCATTTCAGCTAGTGCCTAGCAAGCCCCTGGAGAAGCGACACGACATCCAATGGCCCACCAAAGGTGCTGCATCCCAGGCAAACGCCATTACAACCGACTACACAGGTCCCCAGAAAGGCCTTCGTTTACTCCTAACGTTTTGCTGGGATGCACTGACCCAGCGTTCCGTCTCGCGACGAAAGCCCAGAAGACAAAGGAGCCCGCCTGGCGGGAAAGGAGGGGGTGTTTGGACGTCCCCGCGTGTTCCTAAACACCGGGCTCGGGGACCCGAAGAGCCCACCGCAGCCCCCTGGAGCGTATATATCCGGGGTCTCAAGCTTCAGAACCAGGCCCGGGAGCCTCCCTGGAATTCTGCCTTCCGAATTTTCAAATCTTTTTCTTAAAGTGACACAGCCCCCAATCCGTCCTCCCCTCAAAGGGTTAACTTCAGGCCTCAACGACCCTAGACCCACGCCGGACAATCCCTCTAATTCCTCTCTCCGGGAAAGAAACGGCCTCCTCCTAAGGACAAAGAACTACGGCCTGAGGGCCAGTTACTGCAGGCTGGTCAGGGCCGGCAGAGGCGGCCGCTCAGAACCCCGGGAGCCCAATGCCTGTGCCCAGGCGGGAGCGGGGCGGAGACGGGCGGGAAGGAGGCGGACCCTGGAGGGGACAGAGGCGGGGCTGGGCCGGGACCGAGGCCCGCAGAGGGGCAGCGAGGGGGCGTAGCCGGAGCTACGGCACCAAGGCTCCGCCCCCGCCTTTCCCGCCCCCTCGCTAGAGGAACGCAAGCAGGAGGAGGGGGAGTCGGAGGCGGCGGCGGCGCTGGAGCTCCTCCTGGGGACCAGCGACCCAGGGAGCTAGCACGTCGCTCCGCACCGCTCTTCCTCCACCCGCTGAACCGTCCCTTCTCGCCATGTCCCAGAGCAGGCACCGCGCCGAGGCCCCGCCGCTGGAGCGCGAGGACAGTGGGACCTTCAGGTCAGCGTGCGGGCAGTCGGGGCCCCAGGGCCGGGAGCGTTGGGCGGCGAGACCGGGGCGCGGGGAGCCGGCCCTCCAGTGGCATTCTGGGTAAAGCCCTGCCTGGCGCCCACGCCTCCGCGGCTGTGGGCGCTCGGCCCCGCCCTCTCGGTTGCGAGGGTTGGGGTCTGCGGCCGGGCCCCGCCCCTCTCGTGGCCCCAGGCGGCGCGCTGGGCGATGGAGGTGGCGCGCAGTCGCCGCGCCAGGGAAGAGATCGTCAGGTTTGTCCTGAGAGGCTGCGGCGCTGCTACCAGCCCTGTTCTGTTGAGACTGTCTCCTACCCGCATTCAAGTTCTCTCTCTAAAGACCTCGCTCACCCCGCCTGCCCCTGCGGGGTGACTGCCGCAGCGGGGCCGGAAGACAGGTGCGCCCCAGCCTCTCCAGCTCTGGCCCTGGCCTCCGGGGAACTCCGCGCCTCCCTCGTCACCGTCGGTGGCGGTCAAAACTGGCCTCTGTACGCTTCTGCTTCAGTCTCCAATTTGGCATGCGAAGCACACCTTTTTCTGGTTTTTGCAGTTTGGGGAAGATGATAACAGCTAAGCCAGGGAAAACACCGATTCAGGTATTACACGAATACGGCATGAAGACCAAGAACATCCCAGTTTATGAATGTGAAAGATCTGATGTGCAAATACATGTGCCCACATTCACCTTCAGAGTAACCGTTGGTGACATAACCTGCACAGGTCTGTATACACAGTTAACCTGGATGACCGAGTGGGTTGGCAGTCAATACTTGGTGTTGCTTTTCAGTTCGGAAAAGTGCTCTTTTTGCCAGACAGCTGTGAGGAACAGGTTCTGAAACTGAGACCTCTCATCTCAGATCGTTAGGGCTTTTCAGCTTCATCTGATTCTCTTCCTAATTTTCTCTTCCCCAGATACCAAAGAAGCTCAGAAACTAAAAAGTTACCCAGCCATCCTGCACGACTCTTTTCATACCCCATGATCCTCCTAGGGTTCTTCTAAGAATTAAAGGGAAGCAGGAAAGGTTCTTGGAGCAATCATAGCTGGGTCCCTAGGTACTGTGAAGTTTCATAGATTATAGCAGATACCAGCAGGCATGACCCCAGAATTTTCTGCGCGTCTCTCCTCTCTTTATGGACTCATTTGGCACTTTAGGTCCATTGTACCACTTTTGATTCTGTATCCAAACAAAATGAGGAAGGGGAGAAGGTCCTCATACATTATATTGCATAATAACTTCTAGTTTTTGAAACGTAACAGATATTTTGTATATTATCCACTTTTTAAACAAGAAGAAACAGGTTCAGAGAGATAAGTAACATGCCTGTAGCAGTGAAGGCACATAGCAATGAAATTTTAAAGTTCATGCTTTCTTTTGGTCTGTGAGCTTGAGCAAATGATAACTAAAGTTGCTCATTTGTAAATGTGGACATTATTTTTCTTATGTATCTATTTAATTGCAAACACAAAACATTGGATGCTAAATTTAATTTGGAAGGATGCCAAGAAAAAAATTTAGTAGGAAGGCTCAAGTTCTGCCATCTGGTAAATCTGACGGCAGCATTTGTTTGTGTCCCTGGAAGTTTGGAGTCCTTTATTTTAATTGACGCCACTTTAAGAAAAGTTTAAAACTTTTTGTGTGAGGCAGTTAGATTGTAGGTGCTGGCCGGAAGGGTCCCCATGGGAACCATAGAGTCAACACTGCATTACTTACTTTAGCTAGTCTATTTCTAGATAATCAGGAAGAATTCAAGAAAAAGGAGGCTTTTTCCCTCTCGATGTGTTTTAGACCCCAAATTAACAACCTATGGCAACCGTTCTGCCTACGCCCTCTTCTCACACTACCATGGCTTCCTGTGCAAGCTTATCTGCCTCCATGGCTTCCGATACTATCTAAAGGCTAATAATTCTGAAATGTCTGTCTACATCCCAAGCCCAGTTACAGAATAGTGTATCAGTCTATGCTTGCTGAGCATCTTTGCTTGGATGACACAGAGGCCCCTCAAGCCTCTCATTGTCCCTAACCGAATCCATCTTTTCCCTCAAACCCATTCTTCCTGCATTCCCTTTCTCTGTAAAGGCTCCACAATCACCTAGTTCAGTAGAAATGTGAGTTTTGTCTTCCTAACTACTTCCTCTCTCCCTCCCTCTTGTCCAGTCTGTTATTAAACTCCATCCGTTGGAGTTTAATAATCCACTAAATAGCCACTGAATCTGTCTGCTTCTCTCTCCTGGCCATTGCCACTGCCTAGGCGACCATCATCTCTCACTTGGATTGTAGCTGCATTCTTGTAGCTACATGTTTACCTTCTAGTCTTGTGATGTCCTTTTGTCACGTGACATCCAGTGTTCATTCTTTTTTTTTTTTTTTTGAGACGGTCCCATTCTGTCGAGGAGTACAGTGGCATGATCATAGCTCACTGCAGCCTCAATCTCCTGGACTGGAGCAATCCTCCTGCCTCAGCCTCCCGAGTAGCTGGGACTACAGGTGCACACCAGCATGCCCAGCTAATTTTTCTGATTTTTAATAGAGACAAGGTCTCACTGCATTGCCTAGGCTGGTCTTGAACTCTTGGCATCAAACAATCTTCCCACCTCAGCCTCTTAAAGTGTTGGGATTACAGGCGTGAGCCACCTCACCCACCCTTAACAACCAGTATTCTTTCTAGCATTCATATGTCTTCCTTTTCTCAGAATCCATTCAGTGGTTTCCCTGTAACCCTCTGGATAAACACATGTTTTTTGTTTGTTTGTTTCCGAGACAGAGTTCCACTCTTACACCCAGGCTTGAATGAAGTGGCACAATCTCGGCTCACTGCAACCTCTGCCCCCTGGGTTCAAGCGATTCTCCTGGCTCAGCCTCCCAAATAGCTGGGATCACAGGTGCCTGCCACCACGCCCGGCTAATTTTTGTATTTGTAGTAGAGACGGGGTTTCGCCATGTTGGCCAGGCTAGTCTCGAACTCCTGACCTTAGGCGATCCACCCGCCTCAGCCTCCCAAAGGGCTAGGATTATAGGTGTGAGCCACTGAGCCCAGCACAATACCATGTTTCTTAACATGACTTACAGCCTTGCTTCTTACACTTTAAAAAAAGCTCTTACACTGCCGGGCGCGGTGGCTCAAGCCTGTAATCCCAGCACTTCGGGAGGCCGAGACGGGCGGATCACGAGGTCAGGAGATCGAGACCATCCTGGCTAACCTGGTGAAACCCCGTCTCTACTGAAAAATACAAAAAAAAAAAAAAAAAAAAAGTTCTTACACTTTGGCCAAAGCCAACTACTTGGAATTCTTGAGAACACTGTGCTGTATGTTACCTTTGAGCCTTTGCAGGTGTTCTTTTTCTCTGCCTAGAATGCTCTTCCTACTCCCCCATCTCTCTTCACTTTATTAGCTGTTACTCATCATTTAGGTCTCCATTTAGTTATCTCTTCCTTCATGAAACCTTTCTGAATCCTTACAAAGAGTCGGAGAACCGCTGCTTTTATGTGCTCCCCTACAGCCTGCACTTAAGCTTGTTGTAACATATCCCATTCCATATTTCAGGTGCCTATTAACAGAGAAAAATCCCACACCAGGCTGTTGGCTCTTGAGGGCAGGGCCCCTGTATGCTATATCGCTAATACCTCTGTTAGCAGATAAATATGTGGTTTGTGTATCTTCTCACACTTGAGGGCCACACTTAAAACTTATCCCATGAGGGTATGGGAGTTTGAACTTAAAAGGAAAAAGATTGAATTTATCATTTGCCGTTGCGATTGCTTACTGAAATTAGACATCAGTCTTATCCCCGGTCCCAACTTAGCTACCCATGCAGAAGATACAGACTGTCCAGAAGATACATAACAAGCTGTCACCTTACTTCATAAAACACTTTCCTGTTGTACCCGACACATAATCATGACTGCTAAGCCTAGCAGAGCAGTTTGATACATTATAGGACAGGCTATTCGAATAAAATTATGCACATTTTGCTATCAAACAATTCTGCTGTAAATGGTTCCTTTAAAAGAAACTTCTTGCTGCAGAAGAATTTCCCCTCCAGGAATAAAGGAAGAGTAAAATACTAAGCTGCATTTCTTCAGAGGTGTGACATGGTCTACTTTATTACCCTGTTATGTAATAAACATATATAACGTAGAAATAAGGATTTTTATGCAGGTATGCATAGAATTAAATATATAGAACTTTAAAAGTTATTTTTTGAAATATTTTTCACCTGGTGAGTATTTTATTAGTGTGTAACCACATGTAGTGTATATTTTTATTACCTAGTATGTGTATGTAAAATCTATAGTGACTTTGTTTTGTGTTTTGAAAACATCTCTGTAAGCTGCACATTTTTGTAGGGGATAAAGACTTCTTTTTTTAAATCTTAATTCAGGTGAAGGTACAAGTAAGAAGCTGGCGAAACATAGAGCTGCAGAGGCTGCCATAAACATTTTGAAAGCCAATGCAAGTATTTGGTGAGCTAAATTTCTTTGTATTCAGCAGCTCAAAAATTTCATGGCTGAGGTAAGATTAAAAATTTCAACATGCTTACAAAAGCAACAAAGTGAACAGTTGTTAGCATCCTACCTCTCTAATTATATTTCCTTATGAAGACTTATCCATGGAAGAAAACTTTATTGAATCAAATCCAGCAGTTAGCTGTTAAATGAAGGCGCTCATGAATTAGGCTTTACTGTTTTTTTTTTTTTTTTACATGGGGTGCAACAGTAGAAAATCAGTGCTTCTTGCAAATATTAATATTAACATTTTGTATTTAGACTTTGATTATTTCTACATTGAAGACAACAAAGTGTGAGATGGAGAAAGATCCACTAAAAGTACTCCTTTAGGAATTATAATTTTGAAGAAGCAGGCAGAGGTTTTCTTTTATTATATAATATATACCAAAAGAAGATAATGTTAAGTGGGATATTCTTGACATATCTTTCCAAAGTAAGATTTTTTACTACTCTAGGTGTTTCTGGATAGAATATTGGTCCTGGAGCATCTCACATATTATAGTAGTGTCCACTGGGCGTACTCTGTAGCTTGGCATACTTTCAAATTCTTCTTGTGCATGCACTCACATTAGCCTGAAGTACGATCTGGTGTAATCTGCTTATAGCCGACAGTAGAGACCCAGGGAATTTGGGATGGGTTTTTTGTTCCTAGTCATAGAAAGGCTTTTGGATTAGGGGTGTAGTTAGGTTCTCATGTAGTACTCCCTTTTTTTGTAAATCATTCTAAACCGTTTGGGTAGTTAAGAACTAACCAGTGACACGGCAACCCTCTAGGTAAGCAGCTGCCCAAGATAAGCCTTGCATTTCACAAGATGATGCTTCATTCTCTAGGGTCATGCATTATAATTGATCTATGTATGCCAGGCTGGGCGGGGTGGCTCACGCCTGTAATCCCAGCACTTTGGGAGGCTGAGGTGGGTGGATCACTTGAGGCCAGGAGTTCAAGACCAGCCTGGCCAACATGGCAAAACCCATCTCTACTAAAAATACAAAAATTAGCCAGTCATGGTGGCAGGCGCCTGTAATCCCAGCTACTTGGATGGCTGAGGCACAAGAATCGCTTGAACCTGGGAGGCAGAGATTGCAGTAAGCCGAGATTGCGCCACTGAACTCTAGCCTGTGAAACCCAGTCTCAAAGAAAAGGCCAGGCGTGGTGTCTCACATCTGTAATCCTGGCACTTTGGAAGGCCAAGATGGGCAGATCACTTGAGTCAGGTGTTCGAGACCAGCCTGGCCAACATGGTGAAACTCCATCTCTACTAAAAATACAAAAAATTAACCAAGTGTGGTGGCATGCTCCTGTAATCCCAGCTACTTGGGAGGCTGAGACACAAGAATCCCTTGAACCCAGTAGGCAGAGGTTGCAGTGAGCTGAGATCGCACCATTGCACTCCAGCCTGGGCAACAGAGCAAGACTCTGTCTCCAAACAAACAAAAGACATGCCAAATGACATGGCAGGTATTGGGTTCTCCCCCACTGGTGATGGCCATGCTGTTTCTGTACAGCCTGAAGGTGAACCCAACCAGTAAGTACACTTGTAGAAATGAGGGGTATGGAGTGTCCTTTCTGCACCTGGGCACTTCACTTTGTCAGCAAAAAAAGCTAACAAACTTTACTATATTTGTGCTTCTTGACAGATAAAATGGGAATTACTAAGCTGTAATCAGGCCTAAAGTGGCCTGACTTAATACAGAGACTTTGTCACTTCTCCATCACAATTATTTGGGTAGCTTCGGCATGCAGCATTGTAAGTGAATACTCATATCTCATCAGCCTATGTAAAGCTTGAAGTTCTCGCAGTTGGAGAAAAAAAAAAAAACCTTGAGGAAGTGGCAATAACTAAACCTCACTTGTCATGGAAAAATGACTCCAGTTGCCTAGGTGGTAGTAACCTTGAAATGCCGCTTATTCAGTTTTAAGCACTGACCTGCCAAGTAACTAGTAATTCCCAACTCCCTAGAAGAGGTCGTTCTCTTTTTCCCTAATCATAATCCCCACATGCTAAAACCAAATTCATCTAAGCCATCTATTTTATGCAGGATACATGTACATCTTAGAGGATTATCCCAGCACTGAGCAGATGATAGATCAAACAGATCTCTCTTCATAGTTCTCTGGATGAAAAAACAATGTTTATAAATAATCTGTATTGTTCACATTGCCAGGTTCAATTTTCTGGATCATTGTTACTCTTCTATTTTTTGCATAGTTGTAACAGAGTATTCTTTAAATATTTTTTTATGACATGCCTATTACGTACAAAACGCCACAAAGCTTATGTAGGTAAGTGATACATAGGCCCTACCTCGAGCTTATAGTCTGAATAGGGGAGAGGTATGGTGAAGGATGGACAAATTATATGTATTTGTAAGAGTATATAATTTATGGTAAAACAATTTTCTCAAGAAAGGATTAAACCATGTGTTATAATGTTTCAAAGAAGGGAGAGATTATAAACCACTGGGGTAAAAGGATAGGCTTCTTGGAGAAAGTGTCATTTGAGATATATCTTGGATGACAGATAGATCAGATTCCCATAGAAGAGGCCTGAGAAAAGGGCATTCCATGTAGAAGGAATGACAAGAGCAAAGACATAGAGAGTTAATTAGAAAATGCTTGTCATTTATTTCATAATTTGGGGGAAATTATTTTGTTTTATAACACTTTTAAAAAATATTTAGCTTTGCAGTTCCTGATCCCTTAATGCCTGACCCTTCCAAGCAACCAAAGAACCAGCTTAATCCTATTGGTTCATTACAGGTAAGTTGTACAGTTCTTTGCCTACTGATGAAATATATAATAAGTTTGTAATATCAGAGGGGCTAACACAAGGAATTAATATTTTAAAGACAAGATAGTGATATATTTTGTTTTCCAACTTACGATCATTAGATTTATAGAGCTAACTTGAAATTATTCCATATACAGTATTTGCCTTTGGCTTATAGAATTCTCATTTAAGATCAATACGCCCTCAGTGCACATGGGTAGAGTGTTTTATACTTTAAGAATAGTTCTTGCTACTCTTGTGACAAATCTCTTTCTACTTCTGTTGAGACAGAAGACTTTATAAAGAGCCTAAATCAAATCAGTGAACCTAACTCAAGAAAAGGAGTCTGCTTATTTGCTTATTCTACCAAAAAAAAAAAATTTATATCTACACACACTCACACATGCACACATATTCAGCTTTGAATTTCTATATGCAGAATATCCTTGCAGACTATTCATATGCTCTGTTAGGCCATTCCCCTCCCCATTATTCAGCCAGTCCTTTGGTCTCCTTTTCCAGCACTATGAGCTTTTCTATAGTTTTCTTCACCTTCTGTCCCCCACCTCATCCAAGTCTGTTGTTTGCTGTCCCTACTCATGTGTTCTTGGCCAGCTGTGGGTTTGGAAGTCTATAGCTAGGAGGGGAGGGACTTTAGGAACTGATGGCAGTGAAACCTGTAGATGGTCTCCTCTGATGTTCCCAAAGAGGGCGGTAGTAGCCTGGTTTTCTAGTTGAAGTCTCATACCAGCTTACTATGGTTTAATTCAAGAACACCATTCATAGCAGAAAACTGATTCAGTTTTGGTATTGGGATATAAAGATATAAAATGCAGGAATGTCTCTGAGAAATAGAGGGTCTTCCCTCTTTTTTCCGTTGCAGAAAATCACTATTCTTTTCAAACATATACATAGAAATGGGATCAAAATTAAGAAAATACTTATGTGATTGAGCCATTGCATAAAATTACTATTAAAGCCTCATCTTGATTTTATAGGAATTGGCTATTCATCATGGCTGGAGACTTCCTGAATATACCCTTTCCCAGGAGGGAGGACCTGCTCATAAGAGAGAATATACCACAATTTGCAGGCTAGAGTCATTTATGGAAACTGGTACTTATTTCTTACAATTAAAGGCATTTGAAATATTTTCAGATGATGAATGACTATAGAAATTTCTGTCGTAATGTTTTCCAGTATTTCTATGCAGAAAAGTTGATACATTCCTCTATTATAGTCTCTGACTTTCTGAGGCTGAACTTAAGTATAAATATTTGGCTTAAGATACTTAGTCTTAATTTGATATTTTTAAAAATCAGAGATTATTAATAGAAACTATTGGCTCTGTACTTTAAACAGTCTTCATTGATAAATTAGTGACTTTAAAAAAACTCATTTTGGAGACAAAGCTATAGTAAATCTCTTGGATTTTATTTAACAGCTATTCTATCTAGAAAATAGGACTAGAGGAAGATTACCCTTGAAAATGATATGATTAATAAGAGACTAGATGGCAAATAATTGCAGTGAGATAAAAATGAAAATTATCTTTCTTAATTGTAGCAACTCCTATGTTATAAAGGATATAAACTGTAAGAAACACTGTCACTTTAGAAAGTACTAGTGAGAATTCCTGTTAACTTCTCTGGCATGTTTTTGTCATTTTTTAAAGTGGCTTAAAATGGGATTTTACCTTAACTAGATAATAGTTTCAAGTAATAAGAAACTGTGTGCCTTTGGGAGGTAGTGTGGGCTATTACAGAAAGCACCAGGTCAAAAGCAGGAACCTCAACTTCCATTTTTGATGCAGTCTTTGATTTGCAAAGTTAAGCAAATTACTTAATCTCTCTGGACCTCAGTTTTTTAATCTATAAAACAAAAACATGGAGATAGATATTTGTGGTATCTTTCAACTCCAGCATCCCCTGTGCCTTTCTTATTCCTGTTTAAAGGAATTCCATATAATTGTCAGTTTAGAGAAGATCACAAGCAGGAAATAGACATTGAGAGAGAGGAGTTATAATTCAGATGTATTTTAATAAATATGAATAATTGGTCAGAATTAAACCAAATGTGGTTCAGTAATGCTAGACATAGGAAAATACAATTATTATAGAAAAACAGAAAGCATAACTATTAAAAACTTAAAACAAATGCCTTCAAAAGTGTAAGAATTAGTAACTATACAGGCCAGGCACAGTGGCTCACACCTATAATCCCAGCCCTTTGGGAGGCTGAGGTGGGCCGATCGTCTGAGGTCAGGAGTTCGAGACCAGCCTGGCCAACATGGCAGAACCCTGTCTGTGCTAAATATAAAAAATTAGCCAGGTGTGGTGGCAGGCACCTGTAATCCCAGCTACTTGGAGGGGCTGAAGCAGGAGAATTGCTTGAACCCAGGAGGCGGAGGTTGCAGTGAGCCAAGATTGCACCACTGCACTTCAGCCTGGGCGACAGAGCAAGACTTCATCTCAAAAAAAAAAAAAAAAAAAGAATTAATAGCTATACAAAAGAAATAACACAACAAACAAAGATACCAGGTCAGTAAGAACATAGTCTAGCATATAATAAAAACCATGAGGTTCTCTGATTAAATACAATACTTTATACAGTTTGATCATCCTCTGTGGACACTAATTTCTTTTCTAAATCTACCATTTCTTTTTCTTTGTTCAGGAAAGGGGGCATCAAAAAAGCAAGCCAAAAGGAATGCTGCTGAGAAATTTCTTGCCAAATTTAGTAATATTTCTCCAGAGAACCACATTTCTTTAGTGAGTAATGTTGACAGCTATGATGTTAATGTCATTAAGCATTTCTTGCTGTAGGAAACTTTCCTTGATTTCTTATTGTATGGCTACTTCAGAGTTGTGATTTTTAGAAATCTCTTCATTATTCAGTTATACACTACCCCATTTTTAGCTGCTTCCTGTTTGTGAGTCAGGATCACAAAGGCAAGTAGGTAAGAGAGCTTGGGAGACACAGTCAAATTCAAAATAATAGGATGGGATGTAAAGATAATAGGCCAGTAGTACCATTTTTGCCTTCAAAGTGACAGCGCATTTCCATCCCTTTGTTCATTCATTCACTCAGCAAACATTTAGTGAGCTCATACTATGTGCTAATTGTTGCGTTGGGTACTGGGTTGCAGTGGATAAGCAGTCCCTGCCTCTAAGGAGTTTATAGACTACTGAAAGAGAGGAAGGAACTCTATAGACGAGTCCTTACAGAGTGTGATGTGGGAACACAGAAGAAAGCATCCAACCAAAACAGGTTTGGAGACAGATTCCAGGAAGAAGTAATGTCTAAGCCAAGACCTGTAGGTCTAGAATGGGGGAAAGGAATTCCAGAGAGAAGAAAAAGCGTGTGCAAAGGCCAGGAGTGAAACATCGTATGCGGTCTAGGAGCCCTAAGTGATTTGTTGTGTGTAGAGCATAGTGTTGGAGGAAGGGAGTCTCAATGAAGCCAGCAAAGTAAGGAGGGATTAAATCTTAAAGGGACCCCTATATAAAGAAAGTGAACTTTATCCCAAGGGTAGTACAAAGTCATTAAAGAATTTTAATCTGGGAAGGACAGGATCTAGTCTAAACATTAGAAGGAAATCACTTGGCTGCATTATGGTGAGTGAGTGAAATTAGGATCAAAGAGACCTGTAAGAGTGCTGTTATAGAAGACACATGAGACATGACAGCTTGAACTAAGGTAGTGGCTGGGAAAATGGAGAGAGATGGGTAGATTTTAAAGTTATTTAGAAAACGGAGGTAAAGTGGCATGGTAATTGATTGGATGTAGGAAGCAAGGGAAAGGGAGGAAATTACTATTTTAAGATTGGCAATAGCAAGAGGGGAGCAGATAATGAACTAAATGTATTGAATTTGAAGTGCTTGTAGAATAGCTTATGGAATAGCTAAGTGAATGTATCGAGTAGCTGAACAAATAAATACAGAGCTTAAGAGATTGAGACCTACACACGATATATAACTTCAGATTCTGATATTCATAGATAGGTGTTGTCGTGTAATACATTATCTGAGAGTAGTGTATTAGGTGGGAAATAAAAAAGTACAACTATAGCAACTTCTTCACTGAGCTTATGATAAAATAAGGCCTCATTCTTTAGAAAAAAAATCAAAGACTATATACAAATGAGTAATATAATTGGATTCTACTTTTTTAATAGAAAAATTGACACCACATTTACTGCTTTTGGAATTTGGATCAACAATATCACCAAAATTACAAAACACAGATAGGTTTACAGGTGAAATTGGTCAAATCTTCAAAGAAGAGATCATTTCCAATGCTATTTAAACTCTTTTCAGGCAATGTATAGATAACATAAAGGAAACTTTTAAATTTATTCTCCAAAACCAACATAATACAAACACCAAAACCTGACAATAGTAAGTTCAACAGAAAAAAAAATTATAGATCAATATGCCTTATGGTAAAATGGTAAAACCTTTGTAAAATGTTCAGTTCAACATCAAAATAATAATAAAACATTGACAAGTAGGGTTTATTTAACTAATGCAAGACTATTTCAAGGTTAGTAAGTTGGTTACTTTAACCACATTAATGTGTTAAAGAGTAATATATAATCCTCTCAATGGATGACAAAAATTTTTGATAAAACTCAGCAATCATTACTGATAAAAACTTTGAAAAAAACGAAAATCATGGTTAAATATTTACACATTGTACTCATTCCCATTAATATCAGAAATAAGGATGCCCACCAACACCACTTTTATTTAACTTTGTTCTAGAAGTACCTACCAATTAAAAACAAATTAGACAAGAGAAAACAGGAAGAAGTTGGAAATAAGAGAAGATAAAATGGTTACTAACTGCAAATGATATGATTGTATCCCTTCAAAACCCTAAAGAAAAACTACTAGAAATAATAAGAGAATTCATCAAGGTAACTGATTATGAAATTAATATACAAAATCAATAGCTTTTCCATATTACTTAGAGTTATGTAGGTAACAACTAGAATAATTAAAAATAAAAAGCTAAAAATTATTGTATCTGGGAAGGGGACTGAAGGTGGAGAAGGGGCAAGGCAGAGGTTGTTGCTTTTATACTTCTGTACTATTTGATTTTTTGCTGTATGTGTATATCCACTTTGACAAAACTTACGAAGCTTGGTAACATTGGACATTTTATAGAAAAATAGAAAATCTATCCTATTTTGAAAAAATATACTAGAAAAAAGTCAATAGTTTTCTTTACAAATAATAACTAGAATATAGAAGATCTCAATTTAAATTGTAGAAACAGGGATAGGATATCTGAAAATAAACTTAAAAAGAAATGCGCAGGACCATGTGAGGAAAACTCTACTATAAAGAATAGAGCAGAAAATATTGTAAATATATTTAACTGTAATGTGGTCTCACTCAAAACCTACCAGCGTTCATTTTGGACCTTCATACACCTTTATTGAAGTTTATCTGGAAAAAAACCCTCAAGAATAACCAAGAAAACTGAAAAGGAAGGGTTGGGAGAGCAAGAGTGTGCTGCTTTGCCAGAGAACAAAACATACTGTAAAACTGTACTTGTCAGACAAGGTACTGGGCCAGGAATAGTCAGAGGAACAAACAGAGAATCCAGGTGTAGATGCTAATCCACATAGGACCATAGTATATGGCAACAGTGAGATTTCAGATCAGTGGGTGAGAGGATGGATTATTCAATAATGATGTAGAAACGGTTTACATCCACTTTTAGGTGGGGGCTGTATATATATTTGTTTATGAGTATGACATCTACTTAGGATGCTTCCTTATTCCTTACACCAAAATAAATTTCAGATGGATCAAAGATTTGAACATAAAAATTTAAAACAGTATAAGTATTAGGAAACATGGAAGAGTTTTTCTTTTTAAAAATCTTAGCATGGGGAAAGCATTTTAACTTAAAACCTAGATGGTTAAAAGATTAATAAATTTGGCAACATAAAACCTACTGCACAGCAAAAAATCTGTAAATCAGAATAAAAACAAAGTGGGAAGAAATTATTTCAACATATAACTATAAAGGAACTGTTTTCAGTACCAACTTTAAAGCTCTTTTATACACATCTGCACACAGCAGCACATGTCTGTAGTCCCAGCTACTGGGGAGGCTAAGGTGGGAGGATTGCTAGAGCCCAAGAGTTTGAGAGTTAAGCCACATAGCAAGACCCTAACTCTTAAAAACTAGAAAATTTAAAAAGCTCTTATGCATCAGTTAAAAAGACAACCCAGCCGGGCGCGGTGGCTCACGCCTGTAATCCCAGCACTTTGGGAAGCTAAGGCGGGTGGATCACAAGGTCAGGGGATCGAGACCATCCTGGCTAATATGGTGAAACCCCATCTCTACTAAAAATACAAAAAATTAGCCGGGGTCCCAGCTACTCCAGAGGCTGAGGCAGGAGAATGGCATGAATCCAGGAGGCGGAGTTTTCAGTGAGCCGAATCGCACCACTGCACTGCAGCCTGGGCAATAGAGCGAGACTCCGTCTCACCAAAAAAAAAAAAAAAAAAGACAACCCAGTAGAAGAAATGCAAACGATTAAGGAAAAAATGAAAAGAAAAAATATTCAGCTTTATTCATGCAAGATAAAATATTTTCACCTTTTAGATTGGCAAAAACTACAAAATTTGATAATAGCTGGTATTAGTGAGGGTATGAGAAAACAAGCCCCCTCCAAGACAGTTGGTAGGAGTATAAATTGGTTCAGAAATCAGTTTGAAAGTGTTTATCAAAATTAAAAGTTTACATGTTCTTTGACTTAGCAGTTCCACTTCTAGAAATAATTCTACAGAGAAACTCATTCAAGTGCAAAAGAGTGTTTATTGCTAGTAAAAGCAAGAAGCCAGAAACAACCTAAAGCTCACAGTTGGAGATTCATAAGGTAAATACAGTGCATATATGTGCACTGATAAAAGAAAAATGAACAAGATGTAGAGGAGTAAGTTATCACTTGCTTTAAAAGATTGTGTGTGCTTGCATATGCATAGAACATTTATGGGAAGATACTGAAAAATGTTTAACAGTACGTCTAAGAAATAGAACAGAGGTCTTCAGGGAATGGGTGGTAAGGAAGAGAGACTGTACTCTTCATTATATATTTGTTCTTAGTGCATGTATGTATTTTTTTTAACCATGTAAATAGTGTTTTTTAATTTTTTTTAAAACAGTATTTTAAAGTTTCTATAATGTAAATTTTTATTTGGTAAATCTAACAAATTACTTAATTCCATATCATGCCATCTCTAAAATCTTTTGGAAATTGCCTCCCGTCTGTCATGCTCATTAATAAAATAAGATTAAGAGTAGTAACCCTACTTACTTCAGAAAGTAGTTGTTTTTATTTATGGCATATGAAAGCAATTTGAGAACCATAAACTAATATGGAAATATGAGGCATTCTAAGGACAGAGATGAAAATGGAAGGATATAGGGGAGAATAAAGGAAAGAGGAAAAGCAGAAAGAAAAAGGAAAAAGTACTCAGTTGGGTTCTGGGAAAGAAGTCTAAGAACTTTTTGACATCCTGTCATTTCTTTGACTGACTTGTTCCTCAAACCCAACTTGCACATTTCATGTTTTTTTATAGATTTTTTTCCTGTTTTATAGCTGTCAGTTATAGTGATTGGTATTTAATTTAAAAAAACCAAAGATATGAAAATTGTTTTATATTTTAATCTGCAAATTGCTCCATTAGGCAGATTTAATTATTTATAGATTTACTTACGGTGCTCCCAAATATCTTGTACCTCTTAATGTGACCATCAGAAAACTCGACTGAGAAACATTTGTACTACACAAAATACAAAATACTTTCAGTATATTATTGCAAGTGCTTCTTAAAAACATATTTTGTAGTACTTGTTAAATGTGTACTTTTTAATGTCTTGTTTAAATTGGAAAATTAACCAAATGTTATCCATTTAAACATGCTTTATAACATATTAAATGTGAGTGCTTAATAAGTACTTTTAATTATACTGGTACTGGTGTTGGAACCCAGTCCTAGTCAAGAGTCTAAATCTTCATCTCTGTTTTTCAGACAAATGTAGTAGGACATTCTTTAGGATGTACTTGGCATTCCTTGAGGAATTCTCCTGGTGAAAAGATCAACTTACTGAAGAGAAGCCTCCTTAGTATTCCAAATACAGATTACATCCAGCTGCTTAGTGAAATTGCCAAGGAACAAGGTTTTAATATAACATATTTGGATATAGGTATGATTTTTTTTTCTTTGGCTTTCCCAAGACATGTTTATTTACAAATGTGTATGAGGAATGAAAATTTCTATTATAATTTATTTTATTGATCAGGGATTCTAAGTATATATAATTACTAGACCAGTAATATATATAATTGATACGTCCCATTCTTATACAAAAACAACAATAGCAAAGATAGAGTTTTACTATGTGCCAGGCATTGTTCTAAGATTACATGTATCTACTTACTGAATCCTCAGACTAACTCTATGAAGCAAATTCTGTTATCCTTATTTATAAGTGAAGAAACAAAGGCACAGAAAGGTTGAGAAACTTGCCCAAGATCACATAACTAGTCAGTGGTAGAGCAAGATTTGGGGAAGAGTCCCAGAAGATACCCTGGCTGTTAAACTAGCCCTGCTGGGCGGCTGGGCAAATGAAAAGGCACCTACATTTCTAGCACAAGTACCAAGTTTGTGGCGCCCAGACCCTTTCTCTCTACTTTGTCACTGTATGCTGATTCTGGGAGGTAAATGGAAACAAGTCAGTTTATAGTTTTATCCTTTCCCAGCCATCATCATCTGTATTTTCTTTAGCCCTTAATCATTTGGATAGACAAATATGGACAGATGGGAAAGCAAGTCAGTATGGATTTTCTTTTAATTCAATTTATAAAGCTAATTAGTTGTGTGTGTTTGGTGTCTTGATTTTGTTCTTTTTTTTCTTTTTTTGAGACAGAGTCTTGTTTCTGTTGCCCAGGCTGGAGTACAGTGGCACAATCTCAACTCACTGCAACCTCTGCCTCCCAGGTTCAAGCGATCCTTCTGCTTCAATCTCCCAAGAAGCTGGGATTACAGGCACCCACCACCACGCCTGGCTAATTTTTTTTTTTTTTCCCGAGATGCAGTCTTGATCTGTTGCCCAGGCTGGAGTGCAGTGGCGTGATCTCAGCTCACTGTAACCTCTGCCTCCCAGGTTCAAGCAATTCTCCTGCCTCAGCCTCCCAAGTAGCTGGGACTACAGGTGTGTGCCACCATGCCCAGCTAATTTTTGCATTTTTAGAAGAGACGGGGTTTCACCATGTTGGCCAGGCTGGTCTCAAACTCCTGACTTCATGATCCACCCACCTTGGCCTCCCAAAGTTTTTTTTAGTAGAGATGGGAGTTTCACCATGTTGGCCAAGCTGGTCTCAAACTCCTGACCTCAAGTGATCTACCCACCTCGGCCTCCCAAAGTGCTGGGATTACAGGTGTGAGCCACCGTGTGTGGCCAAAGTGACTTGATTTGACGTGTGAGAAATTTTATATCCCTATCCAACCACAGATGTGGGGACCTTGCTTGTCAGGGTCCCCTGACCCTGGGGAAGTAGGGCACTTAGGGGCTCAAAGAACTTCTGATATTCTCTGCTATTTTGGGATTGAAGGACGGGTCAAGTGCATTGTCTTAGTAAACCAATAATGATGCAGAACCTGAGAAGTCAGTGCAGACAGATGGTTAGAGAAGGTGGCTGATGAAAAATTAACCGGGTGTGGTGGCACATGCCTGTAGTCCAGGCTACTAGGGAGGCTGAGGTGGGGACAATGACTTGAGCCCCTGAGGTTGAGGCAGCAGTGAGCCATGATCATACAGCTGCTTTCCAGCCTGGGTGACAGAGTGAGACTTGTCTCAAAAGAAAAGAGGCCAGAGGCCGGGTGCGGTGGCTCATGCCTGTAATCCCGGCACTTTGGGAGGCCAAGGCAGGCGGATCACCTGAGGTCAGGAGTTTGAGACCAGTCTGACCAACATGGTGAAACCCCGTCTCTACTAAAAATACAAAAATTAGCCAGGCATGGTGGCGTGCACCTATAATCCCAGCTACTCGGGAGGCCCAGGTGGTGGGAGAATCACTTGAACCTGGGAGGCGGAGGTTGCAGTGAACCGAGATTGCACCACTGCACTCCAGCCTGGGTGATAGAGCAAGACTCTGTCTCAAAAAAAAAAAGAAAAGGTGGCTGATGAGAGACCATTCATCCAATAAATATTAGTGTCTACAGTTTGTTGAGGGTTTAGAATACAGAGATGAATGACCCATGTCATGAATAGAACTATGGAGGATACAGAATCTGGGGAAAAAAGGAAACCTGAAATAAATTTTTAGATTATGAATTAATGATGCCTCTGAAACATTTCTTCCCAGTTTTAAGAACTAAATAGTTCTTGTAGATATGGAAAGCAGTCTAAAAACCACAGTCTGTTAATTTGGCTAGCTTCTATGCAGCTACCTTCAAAAGAACCTAGATATTCTCCAAAGGAGATATACAAATGGGCTGGGCACAGTGGCTTACACCTGTAATCCCACCCCTTTGGGAGACTGAGGCATGACGATCGCTGGAACCCAGGAGTTTGAGACCAGCCTGGGCAATATAGTGAGAGCCTGTCTCAAAATTTTAAAATTAAAAAAGAAAAATGACCAAATGACCAAAAAATACATGAAAAGATGCTCAATATCATTAGTTAATAGAGAATGCAATCAAAACCATGATAAGGTACCACTTCAAATCCACTAGAATGGCTATCATTAAGGAAATGGAAAATAGCAAGTGTTGGTGACAATGTAGAGAAATTGGAACCTTATAAGTTGCTGGTGGGAATATAAAACAGTTCAGCCTCTGTAGAATAAGCTTCTCGGTTCCTCAAGTGAACTGCCATATGACCCAGCAACTCCACTCCTAGGAGTATAAATCAAAAACTGGTATTTAAACAAATGCCTATACACACAGATCCCTGTATATTCATAGCAGCACTAGTCACAAAAGCCAAAAGGTAGAAACAGCCCAAAACATTCATCAATAAATAAGTGGATAAACAAATTGTGGACTGTCCTTCCAATGAAATATTATTCAACTGTAAAAAAGAAATGAAGTTCTGATATATGCTACAACATGGATGAGCCTCAAGCAGGGGTTGGAGGGTCAGGAGAAAAGAACCTAGATACTAGAACTAGAAAGCCTCTTCACTCATTAAATAATCCCATTGTATCTGGATATTTTCCACTAAATAGAATATCAAAAATAACATTTTTATTATGCCCACTTTAAGTTATACCGCACATGTTTGTTTCTTCCTCTTTGCCCTCATTTCAGCCATCTTTAGTAAGAATGACTCATCAGTTGATGGGAAGAACATTTGTTTCCTGGGTCAGGTATTGTTTTTAAAACACCATGACCCATTTACAGTATAAATAAAGAACTAGACTCTGCACAGACTTAAATCCTAAGAACATGAACGGACAACTCCATGAATACATACAATTATTATGTATCAATTAAAAAAAATTTTTACTAGAAGACACAAGGGAGGTTTTGCCTTGATCCAAGTTATTCCTGGTTCAGATGCCTCCTGAAAATGACTTCCTAGTGGAAAATACAATCTCTCCAGTCCTTTAACAAATGGTTCTTTCCCTTTTGAGAAAGTTACTTAATGGTTCAGTAATTTCCAAATAGTGTTCAACTAACCATATTAGAATTGCCTTGGGAACTTTTTTTTAAATGTAGGAATCAGCCACCCCCAACCATATATTTCTGATTGAGTGAGCTAGAGTGCAGCCTACATATCTGTGTGTCTTTAAAGCTGTCAGATCATTATGAAGTGTAATGTGTTTGAAAACTGCTACAGCTGAGCAGTTGTGGTTTCTGTTTGTACAAGCAAAACAAAGATTGCGAGTGGTGTAGTATACTATGGATGCTTAAAAAGAAAGACAGTAATAAGAATTGTATTGTTTTTACAAAGGGATCCACTTTATACATATTGGACATTAATCGTCATCCTTGAATGTGTCATTACAGATGAACTGAGCGCCAATGGACAGTATCAATGTCTTGCTGAACTGTCCACCAGCCCCATCACGGTCTGTCATGGCTCCGGTATCTCCTGTGGCAATGCACAAAGTGATGCAGCTCACAATGCTTTGCAGTATTTAAAGATAATAGCAGAAAGAAAGTAAATTTGGAGCAACTTAACAAATCTTTCAGTAGCACATAAAAAGTTCCCCTCTGGCCCCTTCCCAAGTAAAACTTTTACCATAGTGTTTGAGTTTATGTCTTGTTTCTAAATCTCTTCATAGAGTCCATCAATACTCCAGATTTAATTATCTCCTCGTGGTTGTTATTAAGCTCTTTTTAATGGCTTCAACTTTGTATCGGTATATTGTATTTATAAACTTTGTACCACAAGACAGAGTGTAGCACCCATTTTACAGTGCCATGCACATCAGAGAAAGAAACTGCATGTTTGTTGTTGATGATGAAATAAAAATGCTAGCAACAGTCTTTCTTACTGGTGCTTAAGCTCTTTGCACAAAGCTTTATAAAGGGAATTCAAAGGAAGCCCTTTTGAATTAGAGTCTTGAGAGACAGCACTAACAGGCCTTTATTAAGTATGATTGTTAAATTTCAGGGAACATGATTGGTCTGCTCTGTATTTGAATTCATGTAACAAAGAACTGTTATGATGGGATTCTGCTCATTTTATTAAAAAGCTACTGACTTGACTGTCGTCCTGTTCTTGTTAGCCATTGTCGTGAATATTTTAATGTTGATAATTCTGTTATTTACATATCTCTAATTTACTTTGAAATTCAAAGGTGAAAATAAAAAATGATGGCCTAAGCAAAATTTACAAACATACATGTAATGGGTTACTTCCTTACTTTCTCTAAGCGTTTGCAACCTTGTATTTTTCTTTGACATAACCATACACAGGTGAATTACTAGTTTAAAAAGCATTTGACCACGCACGGTGGCTCATGCCTATAATCCCAACTCTTTGGGAGGCCAAAGTGGAAGGATCCATTCAGGCCAAAAGTTCGAGACCAGCCTGGGCAACATCATGAGTTCCCATCTCTACCACAAAAAAAAAAAGAAAAGAAAATCAATCGGGTGTGGTGGCACACTTTTAGTCCCAGCTACTCAGGAGGCTGAGGTGGGAGGATTGCTTGGGCCCAGAAGATAAAAGCTGCAGTGAGCCAGGATCACACCACTGCACTCCAGCCTGGGTGACCGAGTGAGACCCTGTCTCAAAAAAAAAAAAAGCGTTAAATTACCCAAAAACCCTTCCCAGTTTATTCAGTTCAGTTGCAAGAATGTTCCAAAGTGATGAGTGATGAAAAGGTTAGGAAATAAGTCTAATGAACAGATTTTAACCTTTAGTGTTTCCGTATATCATCTTGTAACATCTCAAGTCTTCCATCTGTCAGCGCCGGCTTGTGCTAGCTTTCTAAGTTAGGTAGAGGTCTCAGCTCTGTGTTTGGAGCTCAGGGAAAGCTTCATAGAGGTAGGTCTTTATGAATGAAGGTAGGTCTCATGTATTCATACCGAAGGAAGTATGTAGCAGGTATTTTTGTCTGGAAAAAAATATCTGGAATTCTTTGAGAACAAACTATAAAATAAAGGAAAACCAGTACATGTAACTTACCTTCAATTCTAAAGAGCACTTACCATAGGTCCATATTCTAAGTTCCATTTGTTAAACCATAGAAACAGGTGCTTTTTTTGGCAAGGTAAGGAATAGACTTAAAAAACTGGGAAAAAAGCTGGGCATAATAGGATCTTGTGACTCTTTAAAGATTGAACTAAGGTTTTAGTAAATGGTCTTGGATATGGGGGAGGCACAATGAACTCTCTGAGATGACATTAGACTTTTGCATACTGAAATCCTGACTTGGATAAATTGGGGGAAAGTTTCATAAGGCTGATGAAAAGGATAATATCACTTGGTTGTAGACAGTCCATATGTATTGATAAAATGAGGTCTGAGGATAAGGTGCCCAGAAGATAAAATTGCTGCTGCCTCTGCTTTTCCTGCTTCTGGCTCTGGAGGAAAGTGCATTCTTACACTGTTCAAATGTCGCCTCTCACATTATCCAGATTTTCTAGAGTTAGGGATTTTCTTGGACCATCAGGTGTATCCTTTAACACCATTTTGGTTAGCCCTCTGCTAAGGCTCTTAACCAATCTAATTAGTCAAACTTGTTAAATATAGGTTAATTTCCCAAATAGGCTCAACAGGTAATTGTGTCATAGTCATCTTCACAGTGTCAGTTCTAACACATAAGAGCATCCATTAAGTGATAAGTGACTTTAAAAGATGAGGATGGCAATAATACAATATGATGGTAATACTAATTCAATAAGTTATTGAGCACTAATGTGCCCAGCACTACAGCAGCCTCTGGGAATATGTTGGCCCATATTGTGTTATTTGATGAAGAGCCACTCCCTGATCTCAGGGTGTGCTGTGATATTCCACGCAGGTTCCCCTTCCCTACAGAGGATTTTGTTTTCTCACCTTGGCAGTGTGCACCCAACAGCCCTCAACTGTCAGTAGAATTGCCCTCTAACTGAAGAAAGCCACCTCATCTAAAGTCACACTTCCTTCTTGGGCCAGGCTGCATGCAAAGACTAGTCCCATTGCCCTATATTAGGACAATCTGAAAGACCATCCTAGCTTCAGAGTTCCCCTTAGTGTCAGCTAAAGCTGCCTTTGAGATTGTATCATAGTCCATATTCTTTCTCCACCCAGTGGAGCTTCCTTTCTTTCCACAGGTGGCAATCCTTAATAAATCTCCTACCCACTTATCTTCATCTGAGCATCTGTGATCTTGGTACCAGAAGGGTTACAGGAAAATAGGTGCTCCAGTGGGCTTTTGGAGCCATTTATCTTGCCTTTTCACTTACAGGATGAGATTCTCCTCACTGGGGTAGGGAGAAGTTAACTACTAGCACACCCTGATAGTGCAGTTGTTAAAACTTTCACTAGTGGTGAACTAAGATGGCACGTCAACTTAAGGAAATGCACTGGCAGGCACAAAGATCAGGTGGGAAACAGTGCGGATAGTGGAACTGATGAGTTATTACTGAGCTAGACCGATACCTTGGAAAAAGATAACAAAAGAATGAGAATGGGCCAGGCATAGTGGCTCACACTTGTAATCCCAGCACTTTGGGAGGCTGAGGCAGGAGGATCCCTTGAGGCCAAGAGTTTGAGACCAGCCTGAGTAACATAGCGAGACCCTGTCTCTACAAATTTTTAAAATATTATCCATGCCCAGTAGCTTGTGGCTGTAGTCCTAGCTATTTCGGAGGGTGAGGCAAGAAGATCACCTGACCCCACGAATTTGAGGCTGCAGTGAGCTATGTTTGCACTACTGCACTCCAGCTTGAGCTACAGAGTAAGACCCTGTCTCAAAATAAAAGAATGAGAGTGATTAGTTGGTAATTAAAAGCTGAGTGTGGGATCAAGAGCAGTGGCTCATGCCCGTAATTCCAGTGCCTCAGGAGACCAAAAAGGGAGGATAGCTTGAGGCCAGGAATTCAAGACCAGCCTGGGCAACATAGCAAGGCCCATCTCTACAAAAAATTTTTAAAATCAGCAGGCCATAGTGGCATACATTTGTTGTCCTAGTTACTTAGGAGGCTGAGGCCAGAGGATAATTTGGGTCCAGGAGTTCAAGGTTACAGTAGCTTACTGTGCCACTGCACTCTCAGCCTGAGTGACAAAGCAGGATCCTGTCTCAAAAACAAACAAAAACTCAGTGTGAGGGCCAGAAAACCTCCTTTGTAGAATATCAGACTCTCAGCTCCTCAAGCCAATGAGGAGAGGAAGCTGAGGACCAGGCCCAGGACTTAATCATGAGAATAAAACTCCAAAGAAGTTAGGACCCAAGCTAGGCAGGTCTACTGTGCTGTGGTCAGGACCCTGATTGGGAGAAAATGGAACCCTGACCCAAGGGATGAAACCATCAGGGTTGATGCACCTGAAAAATCTTCAATCCTCAGGTTTCGAGAACCTTCTAAGGCTACAGAAGTGCCCCTCTCTTCTCTAATAAGGGCTAGTATGCTCCCTGTTTTGCTTGAAGACAATGAGCTGTCTCTCCAAGGACAAAACATACACTCTTCAGGATCCTCCCCAACTTCCTCTCTTGGCAACTAAGCCAATTAAAAAAAAGTTAAACTGGCTGGGTGCAGTGGCGCATGTCTGTAATTTCAGTACTTTGGAAGGCCAAGGAGGGCGGATCACCTGAGGCCAGTAGTTCAAGATCAGCCTGGCCAACATGGTGAAACCCTGTCTCTACTAAAAATACAAACATTAGTCGGGCAAGGTGGTGCGCGCGCGCCTGTAATCCCAGTTATTCGGGAGGCTGAGGCAAAAGAATTGCTTGAACCCAGGAGGTGGAGGTTGCCGTGAGTCGAGATTGTGCCACTGCACTCCATCCTGGGCTAAAGAGGGAGACTCTATCTCGAAAATAAATAAATAAAAAATAATCACGACCCCTTACCCAATTTCCAGACCTGAGTCAGTTTTTGAATCCAGGCCCATTAACTAAAGAATCTGGGTCCCCAGGAGGAAGGACTGTGTAATACCACAGTGTGCACAAATAATGATTCCTCTAGTCCTTCTCCAAAGGGACTTATCGCCATTACTCAGGAAATCATACAGTGGTGAAAGGGGAATACTCAACATTTTGATATCTGTTGGACACAGGATCTGAGTTAACAATGATATCACAGAACTGAAAGTCATTATATGCCCTTGATTACAGTAAAGGTTATGGAGGTCGAGTCCTAGGGAGTCCTGGCCCAAGTCTGGCTCACAATATATCCACAGACCCACCTAGTCGTTGAGTGTATAATTGTGATAAATATACTTGATTAGTGACACCAGGTTTCTCAGTGTGTGTGGTAAGAGCTAACATAGTGATAAAGGCCAAGTGGCCAGGTGGAAGCTTTCAAAGTTAACCTCTTCTCTATACCAATATAGTAAATCAAAAAATAATATTTCAGGGAATGGCAGGAATTAATGCCATCCTAAAATATCTAAAAGATTCAGGGAGGATGGTTCACATTGTATCTCCATTTAATTCACCAGTCTAGCCCCTCCAAAAACCAGATAGTGGGCTACCACAAACTTTATGAGGTAGTAGCTCCAATTGTATCTACAGAGACAGCTATAGGCATCTTTGTTAGAGCAGACCCACATGGCATCAGGTGGACTTCTGGTTCAAAAATGGCAGTGTAGACGCAAGCTGGCTTCACTTGCACACCAGAAAACCAAAAACAAATATACAGCACCGAGATTATCACCAACAATATCCCAGAACTCAGATATAAGGATGAGTCAATTCCTGGGGACATAGAAGTCAAAAAACTCTGAGCAGATGGTAAGAGAATCAGACTTTTATATCTGCGGTGCCCCTCCCCACAATCTGTCTGGCACCAAGTGTGTGGAAAACTTCCCCCAACTCACAGTTTCTACAATGGAAAAAGTGAGAAAAGGTAGACAACCAACCTCTCTGCCGTCCTGGATTCCTTGGAAGGAGACCTGTCCCCGACTCAGCCCATGGGAAGTATCATGAGTACCTGAGGGAAAAACATTACCGAGGACAACCAGAGACAAAGGGAGGACGCAGGACTTCAATCCCCAGCCCTGGAAACTCTGCTCTGGAACTTGACCAAAGAAGATGCCAGATCAGAATGGCTACTCAGCAGCAACAGCTGTAGGAGATGCATTCCACAGGTCCTCTTGGCACAAACCTTTAGCCGGCCTTTCACACTGCCAGGATATCCCCTTTGAGACCTCCCCCATTTGAGAAGGGCATCACTCTGATGAGTTTCTAGAGCGGAGGCAA